ATCAACGAAATACCCATCAACGAGTCAAATCTTCAACGACTCAACTCATCAACAATACTCGCCTCATCAACGATACACGACACAACTCATCAACGACACAACTTATCAACGAGTCTAGTTAAGGATCAAACTAATCAACGGCCCAACTCATCAACGATCCGATTCAACAACGACCCAACTCATATTAACGTTCAACACATTAAAACGACCCACCTATTTAACAATCCACCTCATCAACGAGTCAAATCATCAACTACCTAACTTATCAACGATCAACACATTAACGACTCAACTCATCAACAATCAACTCATCAACGACTCAACTAATCGATTCACCTCATCGACGACCTAACTAATCAACCAAGCTAACTCATCAACGAAACAACTCATCAATACCCAACTCACCATCCAGGCAATCAGATGACGTTTCAGAGACTTCTTTTTACGTCAGTCACAGCCCAATGACGTCATATTGCTCACGTTTATTGGCGTCATTCACTCACCAAACTTTGACGTCATGCTGGCGTCAAAATGACGTCAGAATAACATTCAAATTTGGTGATGAAACATAAAAAAGTTTCCTCGAACATGGTGTGATAATCACCACCGATCTCTGATGACATGGCCATTCAATCGTCTATTCAGGAGCGCTATCCCTCAGTACCATCAGAATGAGTCAGTTACTCGAATTTGTATAACAAATTATGTAGTTTGTGTCGGCGTGATGTAAGCAAACCAAAAATAGTTTGATAGCAATGAAAACGATGTAGGCGAATTTAGCTTCACTTTGTTGAGAAACGTATATTCATAAATCATTTGTCACTCAACAATGCAAATTATTGAGAAAAATTCTGAATGACAGAGCTCACCAAATTGGTACGTCACACCGACGTGATTTTAAGACGTCATAGATGCGTCACTGCAAAATCATTGCAGTGACGGTTTCAATATAGGTATACACCTATTCTAAATTTTGAATATAAACATATATAGCTTACTTTTTGGGTATATATAATTTCAATAAAACTTGCATGTTTTGATGAGTTATACTTATATCTATATATCTATAAAATCACCAAGATGTACAAGTTTCTAAATATCAGTGTAAATTGATGAAAAATTTATTTTTTCTGAAAACTTTTTGCTACTGAAAATACCCATCCTGTATATTTAGGTACGTCATGAAACTATCGTCTCATTTTACTTTTCTAACTGACGTTCCCTAGACGACGAGATGATGACGTATTTCTCACGTCATAGAAAGTAGTTGAAGTATTGGATCATCGATGAGTTGGGACGCTGTTGATTCGATACGTTGCCCAGGCAACCATATGACTAATGATCATGTCACTGTGACGTCCCTAATTGGTGATTTTTCGTCAGAGACGTCACACCTATCGAATCATCAGCGTCCCAACTTATCAATGACTCAACACTGCAACGGTCAACTCTTTAATGATTCATTCATCGACGGTCAAGTCATCAACGAACCAACCCATCAATGATCCAACTCATTAACGTTCGCTCATTAACGACCAAACATATCGATGATCCAATTTATCAACCTAATTTATGAACCATCATCACATTAACGAATTGATTCACCAACGTGAACTCATCAATGACCCAACTCATCAACGTTTCACCTCCTCAACGATCCTGCATATCAACCAACCTAACTCATGAATGGATCTACTCATCAACACTCAACGAGTCTACTCATTAGCAACATGTTCCACGAACAATCTACCTCATAAACGACCGAACTCAAGAACGAGCGAAATCATTAACGACTCAACTAATCAACGAGTCCTCTCATCAACGGCTAATCTCATCAACGAGTCAAATCATCGACGACTCAAATAATCAATGGCCCAACTCATCAACGACCCGACTCATCTACGATCCAATTCATCAATGACACAACTCATCAAAGGGCAAGCAATCAACTATACAACTCAAAAACGGTCAACACATCAACAATACAACTCATCTATGATCCCAGTCATCAACGATATAACTCATCAACGGTCAACCCATTAACGATTCAACTCATCATCGGCTGAAATGATCAACAAAGAAATCGTCAACAATTCAAATCGTCGATGACATATTTCATCAATAACGCAATCTACTAACCACCCAAGTAATCAACAATATAACTCATCAATGATACAATTCATCAACGACTTGACGATCAACACATCAAAGACTCAACTCATCAACGGCCAATTCATCAACAACACAACTCATCGACGATCCACTTTATCAATGACCTAACAATCAACCGACCCAACTCATCAACACCCAACTCATCAACTGATAACGATCCTCCTGATAAACTCATCTCAACTGTTCAACGGTCAACTCAATAAAGGGCCAGCTCATCAAACAGTCGAATAAATAATGACCTAACTTATGAATCACTCATTTTATCGACGTTCAACTCATCAACGATTCGATTCAACAACGACTCAACGCATCAAAAGTCAACTCCCCAATGACCCATCTCGATAACAATCCAATTCATCTACGTTTCAATTCATTATCGATCAACTCATCAACGAGTCAAAATCATCAAAGACCTTACTCATCAACGACTCATTTAATCAACGGTCAACTGATCAACGACTCAAAGCATTAACGGTCAACTCATCAACGACCCAACTCAACAACAATCCAATCTATCAATATTTCAATTCATCCACGGTCAACTCATCAACGAGTCAAATGATCAACGATCTAGCTCATCAACGACTCATTTTATCAACGGTCAACTCATCAATGACTCAGCTCATCTCGCTCTTTCGAAATAAGGACTCTACTCATCAACGACCCAACTTATCAACGACTCGTTTCATGAACGATTTACCTTACCCATCAACCGACAAAACTCATCAACGGTCAACTCATCAATGACCAAACTCATCAACGACTCAACTCATGAAAGACCCAGTTCATCAACGATCTACCTCATCATCGATCTCAACTCACTCAACTCATCAACTGACAAAACTTATCCAACTCATTAACACACCTAACTCACCAGAGTATCGAATTATCAACGACCCAACTATATGATTTGAGGTGGCAGAACTATTTTTCACTTTTTATGTTCATCTTTTTTCCTTGGTTTCCTCGAAGATTTTCTGAAGCCAAATAGCCATTGCATCATTACGATAATTATTATTGAATTATTATCTTCCACACCGTCTGCCTACCACTGTTATTCTTTTACATCAGTATATTAACGTCAATTTTTTGACGAATATCACATAAGTCAGTCTCGAATCTCCTCTGTACCTTTTGAATGTTGAGACACTTACAAAACAAACGAAAATTGTAGGTAAGGATTGTTGGCTGTGAATAATTCGATGTAATTGTTAAATGGTTATTAAAATAAATATGATATGAAATTGAGGTATTACTTTGAACGTTATTAGGTTATTGGAGGTGATGAAACGGTTGAGTTGGTCAGTTGGGTCGATGAGTGTAGTTCGTTGTTGAAATTGATTGTTGACGAGGTGGCCGGGTGCTGATTAAATGGGTGTGTTGATGAGTTAGGTCCTTGATAAGTTGAGTCGTTGATGAGTTGGGTGTTGATGAAATGGGCCGTTGATTAGATATGTATTGTTCATAAGCAGGGGTCAACCCTGAAAGTATTCATCATTCACCTAACTAATTTATTCTCTCTACATATTTCCAACCAGTTGCATACGAACACCAACTTGGTCATCAATTTCATTTATCTTTACTCAACTACAGAATTGGTAAAAATATATCCGAATATTATGCTGGCAAAATGATATACAATATCAACTCACGTCTTTGCATTTCCGCAATTCCTGTCCCATCATTGCGACCATGATTTTACCTCTGGGGCTCATTAGAGTACGGTTTATATAATACTCATATGTATTAATATCAACAAAACATGGCAACACTGTCGGGACACACTAGGAACGGTTCATATAAATTCGTATATAATTGGGCTCCACTACGTAGTGAAAGTATAAATGGCTCAACAACGTGCGAAAAACATATAAAAATATTTAAACGTTTGAAATCCTTTCCCCTCTAAGTGTCCCATGAGAGACAAAGATGAGAAGATATAATTGTCCTGACATATACTCTTCTAACTACACAGGAAAGGGTGGGCTCAAGAGCGCCCCGTTCATATGACGGGCTCAACAATATACCGTTTACACCTAAATATATATATATATATATATGGCTATATCCACTACAATATTGATACAGTTGAAATGATTTTAGTTCCGTGAAAAGACTTATATTGTTTTATATTATATTTTCCGAGACACTCTGCTGATTCTCTAGTGAAAATATTAATTATCTATTCTTCATACTACAATAATGAAACAAATATTCAATGGATATGGGGAGTCCAGTTACTGGCGTTCTGTTCCATACTCATTATAACTTGATGATGGATATAAAATCTCTCAGAAATGTCGCACGTATTTATTCCAGTGAGAACGTAGTGTATTTCTCCTCATGAATTAACATATTATATAATTCAGAACCACATCGCTCTGCTCTGCTCTGGCAATTATGTTAACATGGGTACAAACAATTTACAAAGTACAGTTTTCAAATCAATCATTAATAATAAATTTCATCAGTGTTCTGTTTAGTCCGACAGAGCTCATATACTTTCTTTATCGAATACACCATTAATACCACCCTATATACATTCAGAAGAAGAACTGTAAAATCAAAAAAATCACTGAGTTGAAAAACCTGAAGAAGATGCATTCATGAGAAATACAAGTGTTGATAAGCTTTAGTAAATGTCTGAACTAGAGGGTTACTATTGAATAGAATGAAAATATCACAAGTATCAAAAGTTCCTGCTGTAACTGGACTTCTCAATCACATACCCACTACACCAAGACAACAATGACAGTATTTATAGTGGTAATATCCTCAAACTATTCTCATGTCAGAGTAGTTGTGAAAGACATTGATAACACAAATATCTAAACGGACGACTCGTCTATAACGGTTATCACTCTATTCGGAAATACTTTCCATTTACCATTTCCTTTCGACACGCCGCCATTCTCATCTTCATTACTTCCTGTTTCCTCGTTGTTCTGCGCCACCTTCGATCTGGCCAATGACCAGCGTCTGCCCTTTCTGTCCAGTATCACAGGCATTTCCGCTATTAGATTATTCTCGAATTCGCTAAGCATAAGATAATTCTCTACTTTGTTACACGAGGTTATGCAGTCTCCTATGTAGTCTAAATCGTCTAGTAAGTTATCGGGAAGATCCATATCAGCAATACCTGGAAAGAAAAAAAGTCAACGGATATATCGATATTTCAAAAACTTCTCAAAAAGAGTTCATAATATTTTCACAACTTGATGAAAATTTTTCTCCTTATCATCGTCGTTGATGATAACTATTGTGACCTGTCAACTAAGGCATGCTATAGCAGCTATAGTAGCTATAGAAGCTATGCAGCAATGTAGAAGTGCTATGTCGCGATCGCATATAGCTTACTCAATCTTCTCTGATCTGACACAGACAATATGGTTTGAGAAAAATTATTGGAAGCAGCGCTTTGTCTGACATTTTGGGTTGGTCGAATGGAAGTTTATAACTACAAGGAAGAGGAGTACATAGAATTCAAAAACTCTAGAGATTTCAAGAACAAATAATTGTCTTCTTCTGGTTTTGTGGAGTGAGTTCCTATGAACTAGTCTCCTTCAACAAAGAGAAATCGAGCATCTCTACATGACTGATTCGCCATTTCGGAAAGGTTGGTAGGAATAATGTTCATTCGAACAGGATGGTTTGCCATATATCAGAACAAGGTGAGGATAAGTGGTAATTTGTGTTGTAACAAGGTATGGATTAGGGCTGTGCGATATTGAAAACTGGATATCGATATATACTTTGGTATCGATATGTATCGATATATCGATATGCATCGACATGTATCAATGTCGATATTTTTGAGGATATCGTTATAATCGATACATATCGATATGCAACTGTGATGCCATGTACCGCCCAAACACAAACAAAAAGTTCCCGATTACAAAGGTGTCCAACGTTCCTGTATGAGATGTTTCTTTCTCTTAAGAAAATATGATTACATGAGTCACGAATTCAAAGATGCTATAAAAATGAAGTTGGTTAATCTGGAAAAATTCTACATGCTTTCTATAACACACAAAGTCATGATACACAAAAACCCTCAATACTCATTTTTTTTTATCGCTTGGAGCGCACGAAAGGGAATACCTATAATGTTCAGAGAACATCGTGCGTTCCTAGGGAGGATAGGAACAGGAGGTGGGTATTGGAATTTTTTTTGAACTTTTGAAGATTATATGTTGTTGGGAATACTTCCACAGGCAATGAATTCCAGAGCCTAGCCGTTCTATGGATGAAGGAGTCTTGATAAAGTGCTGTTCGACATCTTTCGAGGTTGACAACGAGAGGATGTGCTGACTGGTCTTGTCTAGTTCGTCTGATTGGTATTGCTAGTGAAGGGATGATAGCAGAGATTTCCGAAAAACATTTCCCGTGGAAGTATCGATAGAAAAGTGAAAGGTCGCCGACCTTTCTACGGTGTTCCAATGATGTCAAAGAGTGAGTGAGTGTGGCGTCACCCACCAGGCGAATGGCTCTTCCCTGGATGGAATCTAAGAGCATCAGCGTATGTTTTGGTGCTGAACCCCATATGTGGGAACAGTATTCTAGAACAGGCCGTATCTGCGCTTTGTAGATCGTGAGAAGCTGTTGAGGTGTAAAGTAGCTTTTCGCACGGAACAAGAATCTGAGTTTTCGTGAAGCAGCTTTTGCGATGGATCTGACATGATTATCCCATGAAAGAGTGTTGCTGATGGAAATACCGAGCATAGATATGGTGGGCTTGGTTGGGATGGTGGAGCCAGACATTACAATATCAGGCATACTGAGTTCCGCCTTTCTAGAGAAAATGCAGGATTGAGTTTTGGTGGCGTTGAATTCAACTAGGTTGTTTGTTCCCCAGGCTGTGATTTCAGCAAGATCTTCATTGACAGCATTGACCTGCCTGCGCCGTGAGTTCTTAGTTTCCTGGGAAGAAATGGGAATTCTGGAAGAGAACGCAGTATGTAGGGTACTATCATCTGCAAAGCTGTGGATGGGGCAAGTTGTTACTCCCAACAGATCATTGATATGATTTGAAGAGCTAGTACGATTCGAGAATATAAATAATTTCGAATGGAGTAATCGACGAACATTAGTAGTACCAAAATATCATACAGCAATTTTTAAGTGAAGCTATCAATATAATGCCTGTGTTCTCTACACTACGCAGCCTAATGATCTGCAAACTAATCACTCCTTACTTAATTTCAAGAAAAAAATAATTCTATTCGATGATATTATGTAACTGGTACATGAACTTTGGCTATGAACATTGCGAATCGATGGAAAAATTACGAATTATTTTTATGTATACAATAATATTCATTTCAGATGTTATATAATATTAGGATTATATTGTTAATCAATCTAGTTAGCTGATAAGCACTTCACAGAATTTCATAACCGCGAAACAAATTTTTTTATGGATTTCATATCATACTATGTTATGGACTGCCTTTGTTTACTATTTGGAACGTAGCTCCCCATTATATCACCCAATGCTGAGTTGAACCACTGCAAATATTGTTAACGATTTCAAGCAATGAACCTCATATTACAACATGATATCTTGGAATCCATCATTTTAGGTATACATGTAATTTCCATACGAAGATATAGGTTATGATATTTTCATAACCTTAACACGCTTACGAAATTTCACACCTTCGAGAATTTCTACTGAAAAAAAAAAAAAATGCATGTAATTTTCATAAGAAGATATAGAGTATCATATTTTCATATAACCTTAACACGCTTACAAAATTTCACACTTTCGAGAATTTCTACTGAAAAAAAAGCTAGGTCATGTGCGTTAAATAATCTCTTGAATCCAAGAAATTTCAATAATACTGCGTAGTTCAGTTGAGAATCAATAGTCGATATCAATAGAAATGAGAAATTTGGCTCGACCCGCTACGTCAATATGAACACATTTGACTGTAACACCGGGAGTAATATGACTATAGTACTTCCCCCTGATCTTCAGTTTTGGAGATACATGATTATTTTTACATAGACATAGTTTATTGTCATTTTCCGATTCTACCGGTAGTGATAATGAGTTTTTATTTTCGTATAGAACTCCCATTCAAACTCCAACATTGATTTTTATTTCATTTTCGGTTCAGCATATGAGTGTTTCATGACTAATCTCATCCAGTGTGATTCACTCATATCGACAGTTATGAGTAATGCTGAAATGACTGAATTATTGAACTGAAGAATTCCTTGATCAATCACGAAATTAAGTTCATCAAAATGGTTGGGTGGGCCATTAACCCTGAACAGTAGTTTTGACGGGTGAGCACTGCAGTACTATCCTCATACCTTCTTCAGAAATGCAAGTCAACTCCGGCTTCTCATTCGACAACACCAGATTGTCGATCAGCCCCCCGACTGGATTTCCGCCCAAATCCGCCCCCAGAACCAGTGCCGCCGCTGCCGCCCCCGCAGTCACGCCGCCGTCGTTGTTGTCGGGCTCCTGCGAGAAAGACAGCTTGCGCCTCTGGGGGCAACTTTCTGAGACACACAAATGGCGCGTCCCATTCTCGCGTGTGTGCTTGTGGCGGGAGATCTTGCGCCTGTGCAGGTCGATCAGGAAGAGCGTGAGGCTGCCTATCAGGACGCACGTGGAACTGAAGTAGTAACCCGCTCTGTCGCCACATCGTTCGTTCATGTAGCCTGTGAATGACAAATATGTAGAATAGATAGCTATACCTATAGAGTAGAGATATGTGACAGTTCGTATGAGGTTGAGGTTCAGAATTCAAGCGTTTGCATTGGAATGTTCTTAGCTAGGTACACTTAGTGGACAACGATCAGAGTTTGTTGTTCGAATTCCACCAGGCGAAGCTAGTTCATAGGATAACAGTGGGGTTACTGAATTTCTCTCAAGTCTGATGAAGAGATAATAGCTCCTGTTACATTTTAATGTTATTATGGAAAATTTAAACTAGCTGCAACTCTTTGGTTATGGGTATATTGCGTGGATTGAAACACACACACACAAATGGGAAATGTATTCAGGAAATTATTTGCCTAGGCGAATTATTCTCCTTCTACTAGGCAACAACCGAATGTCGAGAATTACAGAACCCTACAACTATTCGGATGGATACTAGGAAAACGTAGGCGGAGATAGTTGAATAAAATTCATGCCTGAAAAATTTGTAGCATTAGATAGGGATGATCATTCAAATTTGAAGGCCATTTGTAATTTACCAAACTCAAGAACACAATATATTAAGGTTAACACATTCTAAGGGCAAAACAAAAAGAATAGTATCAATTTCCTGATACGTCGAAAACAAGAATCCCAAGATGCTTTTCTCTTTTCAAATATTCTCTACTTCTATTGTTTTGTTTCCATTAATTTGTGCCTTATTCGATAATATTACTATGGTTTTCCTTTGCAACTTCATTACTAAATGAATTTTGATTTCATTTCAAAATTAATCGACTTCATATTTGAGTAAATGTTGTTGGGTAAAGAAACGACGGATTCTATCGATGAAAAGTCAAGCGAGAAAATGTAAAAATATGACCTATAGACTAGAGAGCTCACATAGAGTGAGAGTCCTGAAATTAGACAATATGATACCCTATTTGAGTATATAGGGTGTGATATTAGTACTTTCGAATATTCAAGTGATGTATTACTGAAGAGACAATTCTAAGAAAATAAGTTTGAATGATCTTGTGGCCGCAAATGCTTCGGAGAGAGCAAGAAAATAGTATGATGCACATTCCAAATTTGCCATCATCCTCGATGGAGAAATAATTGACTGAAGATGGGTAGGTCAGTACAATAATCAATCACAACATCGTTCATTGAAAACCAGTTTTTTATAGTAGAACGAGAAAATAAGAATTCGATACTTTCAAAGTTGTCGAAGTTGAAGAAGTTGAACCTGAGATACCAGAAAAAGTATTTCAGTAATCCTAGTTTCGTGTTGAGAAAATGATGTTTTCGCAATTAATTCAATGGGAGACAATGCATACTTCTCAGACATGAAGGGTCGAGTTATTAGAATGAATTCATGCAGTCCTACCTACTTATTTGCAACCATTCTAGAATCACCTATTGAATACATGAAATGACACAAACTATGAGCCATGAATTCAATATTATCCTCTCATATGTCGAAAACAGATAGTGTCTGAAATTTCTCCTCTGATTGAATTCATTATGAAAAATTTCAAATACTCATGGGTGGATCGGAAGAATATTGAATGAAAACTATTAACTATACGATGAATATTTGTTCGTACAAGGGACGATGGAAGAGAGCAAATGAAGTTCGAGCATCCAAGCAGAACTTGATTCAAGATACTGTTTCCACAACAGATGAGCAAATCATGAATGAACATACCTGAAAATGGCACTCCAATTACAATTGGTATAGCTTGTGAGCATTGTACGAATCCCCAGGTTCTTGCAAAGTTGCGGGCTCGAACTCTCTCATACGTGTACATTTTCAGAGAGTAGTGGTATCCTCCACAAAAAATACCTGAAAATATTATTGAATGAGTTACGTCATGGATTGATGTTTGGTTAGTACTCTGGAATGATAAAATGAATGTCTTCGCCGAAACAGCCCCACTGAGATTTCAATCATCACCAAATTGATATGGTATCAGGTGTCCAATGTTTCTTTATATTATATATTTTTCTCAACGGAATATCAGATGTCTAACTAACGATCAGGTGATCTCACTTCGAGTCGCTATCATGAATATACAATAACTCTTTATGTATGTGAGCAATTTGATTCAATTATGCAGGGAAAGCAATTTGATTCAATTATGCAGGATTATGCCTTCGCCAATTTCCAAAACCAATTACTCTTGTAGAATGAAAAGTGAAATATTCGTATATTCACTTCCTGATATTCAAATCATCTGAGCCTGACAAATTATCTATCTCAATATTATCAGAACTGGATTAGGGCAACTTGCAGGATCAAAATATTTCTGCACGGCTAACTGCAATTGTGAATGGCAATCCAGAAATCATCATTTTATGGCGACTTGAGATAGGTACGAGTATCTTATCATGATGAAATGTCAGATACTATGAATGCTATACTATATAATAGTTATTATGAACAAAAACCAGTCAAATTGTGTCTTCAAAGTATTTTTTTTCACGTAGCTAAATGGGAGACTTTCTTCACACTCACACCAAACGGTATAGTTCAAATCCTACGAACTGAAACAGTTTCAGTACATGCGAATTCCACAGGCAGTAATACTTTCTTGACCCCGCGTCGGAGTAATTATAAAATAGGCATTGCCATAATCGAATATGCTTACCATATATCCAAGCAAACATCACATAAGCGTGATAATTTCCACTGACCACCGTGAACGCCAGTATGGACAGTCCACACATACACACAGCCGTCTGGCACAAATATTGTCTTGCAATCCTGCACTCTGTGGAGCTATGCAATACTAACGTACTGAACACGACGCATCCAACAGTCCAAGCTAGACCAAGGTACATCTGCAGGAACATTGTTGAGTCTCCAAGACCTGTGAATTGGATGCACACGGTTAGGTTAGGTAAGGTCAGGTTTGGTTAGGCTCCATATGATTGGGGCGAATGCTGCCTTCCTAACGCTACTCATAATGGGATTATTGTGCCTCGATTCCAAAGTTCACAGTTGGTCGTGAAATATAGTTTCCTTCTGAGAAATCTATGATTGATAAAAGGAAACTGTTCTCTGAAAGTGGTAACAAAATATGTCATTCGGAATTGAGTCGTTCTGAACAAGAACATGAATATCTGTAAATATGTGGAGAGCTGTTTGGTCTTTTGATGAACTCAATCGACAGATCGTTTGTTGATATAGATCTATCTTTCGCCCCACGTAGCAAAGTGAACGTCTCATTGGCGTCTATCATTTTGGTGATGAAATTAAACATCCTAACAACATCAGTTTCGTGCGAAGTTGGTTTATTTTGGTGGCAAAAGTGAACATCCTAACTACGTGAGTTCAGTGCGAAATTTTTTGATTCGAAATCGAATTGAATTGAAAATGAATCTTCAAAATGTTTTTTTATGCAATCATATATTTCCGAGATGAATTGATTTGAAACACCTGTCACGAACCAATATCCATTGGTATATCATGTGTTCATGAAAGAGGAATAAAAACTGTTATTTGATTTGTAATCGAAGTTGTCATAGTAATTGTTAAAAATATGTATAATGTATATGGATCCTCTGAACAAAGCGGAAGAGTCATCAATTTATTTACACTGCACTGGTTGGTAATATACAGCATCGGATTCGAGAACGAGAAAGCGTAACTCTGGGTTCCTATCGAGTATATAAGAGACATAAAGTAACTTGGTACTCGAATTATTTGTATCTCCTGCACCAATACCAAATAACGACCAAGATTCTAGATCAAAACACTTATACACAAGATACATATAGAGGAGTTTGAATGTACAGTTCTGTGCCAAGAGGATATAGAGTCAACATTGTATCTGTGTACAGTTCCAGTCCAAGTCTCATTACTAATACGTTTTTTGTCTCATGAGTACATCATCAAGACCAATTTTTAGAAGTTTCATCGATGTTATACACCCGATTTGATCAAGCACATCCAGTTTTGTGGTCTATTTCCTAGCCAAAAAGATGGAATATTCATACTCTCCTGGTTCGAGTCCTCACCATAGAAGTTGAAATTCGTATAATCTTCAGATGAAAGTTATTTTATTGATCTTATATGAATGTGTTTTGGTATGAATTTTTAAATAAGGACAAAGTCTGGTTGAAGAAGACTATGACAAAGTCTGGTTGAAGAAGACTATCACAAAGTTTGTTGAATGCTTGCGAACTTCTAATTCTCTGAGGATATTATAATTATTATTTTAAATGGTAATACAATGCCAATCAGACTTGATTGGGTTGATCATTCTCTATGATTTTAGATTGATTAATTTTGAGTATGTTTATCACACTCTATTCGATATGAATTCACACCAATGCACTAGTGGCACATCCAGTTAAGGAATTCAAATTGACAAAATGAATTGAATGAAGGTTTTCCTCATTCCATTATTTTTTCAAAATTATTCGGACACATTATTGCATTCAACTTCTCTTGTGATTGAAGTTATCTCATTTGAGAGAGCCAATGAACTTATCTTTTGGAACAGTCAAAAGTCGATATCAAATCGAAAGAATGTATACCTGATATTAAACGTTCATTATTTTGTGAAATTCAAATCATTCAAGTGAGAAATAGCCAAATACAGCCCAACACAACTCGCGAATGGAGCTTAGAGAATAGTTTAAGAACATAAATCTTCACACCTTCAATTTCCGCCTGATATGCTAAATAGAACAGGGGAGTGTTGATACCAAATGCACTGATCCCAGTGGAGATTAAGAGGATTCTGACGGTCTTGCTCTTCAGGGTGCTGAAGTCGAAGAACGGCACCTTGTCCTCGAACTTGTTCTTGTCCTTGATCTTGCGTTTTTGGTTCTTGATGTGGAGAATGGCCCGCCGCTGCGGATGATAGAGCGACGCTGACCGATAGAAAGTGCCGAGTATGAAGGTGATGGAAATGGCTCCTGTCACAACTTGAAGGCCTAGGCGCCAACCAAGTGCTCTGAAAAAAAAATGATTGAAATAACCTGATCAACAGTGATAATGTCTTGTTCAGATGGATGAAAAAATCGTCGATGTGAAAGCAAACCGGCGTATATATCTGCAGAATTACAATTTTTCACCAGAGCGCTTCAAGGTTTATCTATTCAATTATTCCTTTATATCTACTTTGTCTTTCTTCAGAGCTATCTCTTTCGTGCATAAAATTGAGCCCAGTTTTGCTTGTAGCTGCATCGGTGGCAAATAACTAGAAAATTGACTGATAACAGAATGAATGAATCGGTATATGCCTTCGAAGTTTTATATATAAGCAAAGTTTGTGAAAGGGCGTGAATTATCTGCCAATAATAAGCCATGCACGCTCGACGCCACGCCTGTGCAGATTGAAGAGATTAGTATTGGGAGATACTTCGGTTTTACTTGCAAGCTGCAGCAGCAAAACGACATATCATGCTGGATCAGAAGTATACAAACATATGCTGGTTTGACACACTCAAAGAGGTGAAAAGATCAAATTTTTTGATACCAATAACAACTCACGAATCCTTTTTTGCAGATATGCCTGTTTGATTCCATAGCGACGAATTTATATTCATTATACAGGGCGTATGAAGAAATTCTGGATCGGGAAAACCCCACTAGGAATCTGTGATTAGGGTACTATGAAAATGAAAAATTCTCATCAATCAAGTTCGAACCCCTTGATTGGATATGGAAGTATCGAAAAGAAATATCCTCGAGATATTGCGAATGGTTTAATTTTCGAATTATTATAGATCGTATTATTTATCTGATTTCAGAGACAATGTCCATTATCAATTTCAGCAGATTTTCATTTCCATATCCTCCTCTTGGATGTTCAACAAATATATTTCAGTGTTCGACGTGACGAGTAGCCAGGAGAGTAGCTGTTTTCTGTTTGCAGAAGATTCTCATCGTGTCTGTTCAACAGATGCAATTCAATGTTCGTCGTGGCATATAGCCAGAGAAGTAATCATTTTCTGATGAATATACCGAGAAAGAATCAATATCTTCATCAAATAGAGAATGCGAATTCTCAATGTATTCAATCAATTATTTCCTGTTTTTCCATGTCCATAATATATCCTTTCCAATATTGATAACAATGATAACGTCGTGGTGCAAAATATAGCCCAAAATCATAGTAGGATATCTCCTTACCAATTTGAAATCGTTTTTCACCTGATCTCTGCACAGTTTGTCGTGAAAATATTGAGATTTTATTGATCTCATATAGAATTTCTACAGGGTGATGATTGAACAAGAATAAAATAGGAATGTGGACCTCAACTTACGAGACCAGTGCTGAAGCCTTTGAAAACGATAACAAGTGAAGAAAAAAATAGTGCTTAGATAATCGTGTTCTGAATATTCATTCACAATAATGCATTTTCCCACCGATTCATTGGGTAAAATTGAAAGTTGGGATTCTTGCACGAAGCATCAACCTTGTATGTATAGTATCCAGATATGTGAGAACAGAAATTCCTGAAGAAGTATATGAATGTCGGCGTCAATTAGTGAGATCTGTCATTCCCTGAAATGCTTAGTCATTTCAGCATTTCACGTATCGACAGCAAACAGCGTAACAGCGTAACTTCCATTTTCAGCCGTAACTCTGTTTGCCGGAGGCTTGGGGAAGAAAAATATTCTTTCTGCATATGCATAAGGAGGATCACTATTTTTCCTAAACAAAATATAACCAAACTCCGCCTCAATGAACCTCCCTAGTGTTATGATCAATGAACGATAAAAAAAAGTTTAATTAATTTTTTAATCACCCCTAATATCTTTATTCATTAATCAACTTCAACTAACTGACCATTCATAATATTATCATATCATTATATACTGGGTCTTGATATCACCTCATCTCCCTTCCAAGTGATACTCCCATTCAAGTGGTGCCAGTTTCCTATTGATAATATCTTCTGTGTCGTTAACTTTCGACTTCCTCGAAAGCCTGGCCATTGTTCGACTTTGCAAAACACTAAGTTTTATATTATTATACTGATGCAATATTGCTTACAGTTCAAATACCGACTGCGCCATGTTATGATCAATGAACGATTCTATAATATCTTTATTCATTTATCAACTTCAACTAACTGACCATTCATAATATCATCATATCATTATATACTGGGTCTTGATATCACATCACCTAGAAAGTATATTCTTCAGGAAATTACTTGGGGGAACAGAAGAGCCTACTGCTTCTGATCAACCTAAGCTGATTCGGCCTAAATGAACCTTCCTTCCGTAATTACAGGAAATGCCTGAAACTATTAGGCAAATGGTGTACGGAATTTAGAGTTTCGCTGTTTGCCGGCAATACGTGAAATGACTGGGCATTCCAGAGAATGACGAATTTTACTATCTGACGCCGACATATACGAAAGGTTACAAAAGATACTGAATGGTCGAATGAGGTATAACGGATTCCTCATCAGATGAAACATTATTTTCTTTGTGTGTGATACATCTTCATGAAGAAGTTTGGTGTATAATAAAGGTAGGTACTATTTTGGGAATAAGGGGAATATTTTGGAAGATGATGCGAACCTCTATGTTCTGGATGAGAAGGAGATAGGTACTTATAAAATGTCGGACATTGTCAAAAATTTTATGAGAAACTACTAGGCGTCCAGATATCGCCTTGTGATGCGGACTACTTCGTTTGTGGAAGCAAGGACTACGACGTAATTGACATAAAATCCATTTGTTATTGAATATCAGAGATTGTGGATGATAAGATCTCTCTGCTGAACACCAGAGATCTCAAAATGTAGTATAAGGCCCGGTTCAACCATCGGATTCAATCTCAGTTTTTGGAGTTATATAACTGACAGAAGAAGATTCAAACCGTGTTATCAAGATCATCGGTGATTATGGTATAGTCAAACAGGAATAATCTCGACTAATCCAGAATATAGTGTGGTGAAATTGAATTATTCAGTCAGACCAACTCTCAAACTGAGATTGAATTTGTTGGTGAAGCCAGAGCCTGATGTCTTTAACTATTTCAAGTACTTTGGTGCAGAATTGGAACCACGAATTTCTTGAAGTTAGAGGTATGCTGGGACAAAATATATCCCGCTCTGCAATGGGCTTATGATTTGTGGTACGACGGTTTATTTTCTCTCCCGCCCCATATTACTCACTCATATTGGTCTTTTGAATCATATGTTCCAAGCTGAAGCGAATAAAACAATACATTATTAGTGAATAGAATAAACTCCAAACTTGTTCCGTACGTTGTGTTTCTCCTCTCGAATTGCGGCTGCAAATTTCATGCTTTTCATGTTATTACATTGTTTCTGCATTAAATACTATCTAGGCAACATAGGTAACCTACTTGTTATATTTTTCCAACTTATATGTTCATTTTTCGTTAACAATATGTGAGAATATACGCTGTTTGAAATTTGTCCCACCATACAACATGACATTTTTCAAGGATAATGATGAGGAAAATGATGTCGAATTCAATTCAAACAACATTATACTGTCTGATATGAATCTCGAGACACCAGTACTCATATATGGATACATGGGACCCAAAAGATTTGATACCCCTATCGCGGAGTTGAAACCAGTGATACAGAAAAAATGGTGGAGTGGATGAGATCGTTCAGCCAAATTATTTCAATAGAACATCTGGAGTTGCTCAAGATGAGTAATCTCTCTCGTCATTTCATCACGGACGAATTATCGAATCACATAGTTTTCCAGATCAAACTATATACTAAGCAGAATTATCAGACGACTGGAAAGACATATAGAGAAACTGATATTCATGAAATCTTTTTCTTGGATGCTGCTGTAGTCAACTCATTTATTCTTCACAGAATACTCTATATCTTTCAAAGTTATCAATGGAAGACTTGATCATTTAGTCGTCAATGAATATCAGTATCTTCATCAAGACAAGAACAACAATCGAATGGACGATTCAAATAGAGAAAAACACTCAGTCAAAGCCCGGTAATGAGAGTCACACAAGGTGCTCATCAACCTATCCGAACAAGTCGAAGGAGATAATGCTCAATGCTCAATGCTGCTCAATTCAGAAGAGTTTGAAGTTGGAACAAACTGGTTGTGTGTTTCACTCTGTCTTGCAAAGAACAAAACATGTTTGCAGACGTTCCACAGTGATTTGAAATGAGTCGATTCTCATGAAATTTTTCACATCATGGAATGGTGGGTTAGATTTTGACCCACCGTTTTTTTTTTTGGAAAAATTGGAGAATTCTGACATTATTTTATATTTGTTCGTATTTCTTGAGACATTTAGAGTTAGTTTGTTAATGAATCTTTGGAGAATCTGAAGAAAAATAAAGCTGTACATCTAGGGGGTGTTATATTTCGAAATTCCTGTACCTGAAAGAGTTAACGAATTTCGAAATGAATTGGTGCAGAAATTTTCCATGAGACATACATGGCAATATGAAAGTCAAGTCAGAATTGCCATAGATTCGACAACATATTTTTCGTTATAATGAAGGGTATTCAGCCGCAAGTTATTCTTATTAGTAATTGAATTTGAGAAGTCAATGAGGGCTGAGTTGTATACTCGTGAATACTTGGTACCATTTCAACTTATGATCTAGCTCCAGAATATTTCTCGGAATTTATAATATCTCAAATGCAGGTTACGACCGGAGATTGCAATTTTACACTCATTCAATGATTATCGACCCGTAGACATTCAATCTAAAATCACTTGAGTTTCATATTGCCACAACAAACTGTTTCTAGATCTGGCTCATTATGTATGTGAAAACCGATTTCAAATTGGTCAGAAAATTTGTGAGTTATTCAACGTTATACGACGTTATCAATAGTGATATTCTTCGATTTTGCACTCGAAGTAACTGACATATTTCACATGAACTGAACCGAAACAGCTACCATGCATTCTATCGAATCAAAGTATTCCGAAAGAACGCATATCAACTGATTTGGTTCAGCTTTAGT